AATATATATATATATATATATATATATATATATATATATATATACACACACACACACACACACGCATGCAAATACTTCTTAAATATATAAATATACGCACATATTATATAAACTTATGTAAACACAAACTTCTTTGGACACACACGCACCTATCTCGGAGTAAAATTAAATATTCAACAGGAAATACTGTCTAGACATGATTAAATTGTAGATGTTAGGCTAAATGATTTTATGGGTTATTGTTTTTTTCTGTTTTATATTAAAATCTCATTTGACCATTTAGAATAGCGTTTAAAAGTTTGGAGTCAATATGACTCATTTCTATGATAGAAATAATTGTTTAATTCAGCAAGGGCACATTAAATTGACCAAAGACACAGTAAAGACATTTACACTCTTACATAATTCTATTTCAAATAAATGTGTTCATCAAATACACGTGGAACTGTTTTCCACACTGATAATAAGAAATGTTTCCTGAGCACCAAATCAGCACAGTCACTGAAGACTGGAGTAATGACTGATTAAAACAGCTTGTAAACAAAATGTCACATAGCATTTCATTTATGTTCTCAGGCAAGTCATCAGTGTCTACAGCTCGTATTTGCAAGAGAAATTAAGTCTATTGAAGAGCATTTTGCAAAATATCAGACTATACTTCATTATATTTACTTTACCTGTTAGTGATGTCTTAATAATAAGAAATGTTTCCTGAGCACCAAATCAGCACAGTATGATTTCTGAAAGATCATGTGACACTGAAGACTGAAGTAATGGCTGCTAAAAAATCTGTTTGCCATCACATGAAAATCCCACAAAATTATTGCTTTCATTGTATTTTGATAAATAAATACAGTGATGATGAGCATTAGAAACCTTTTTCAAAAACAAAAAAATATGACCAACATTTTGAATGGCAGTGTATTGCTAAAAATCTGGGTTTAACCAGATTTCATGCAGTTTTTGCTACTGAGATTATGAAAACTGAAGGGATTCGAGTCAAATATACCAAAAATGTCTGAACAAGCTTCCTTTTCCCCTTTGTCTACCAACACCAGTTGTAATGCCAAACAACCCCCAAAAGTCAGGAATGTTTTAACTGAAACAGGAATATGAACCAGAATCATAATCTCACATCAACGTCCATATCAGGATATCTCCTCCCTTTACTCTTCCCCAGGCATTTGGTCTTCCCTCCATCTAGCAGCTGGCACCAGAAACCCTTCTTCGGATCGAACCTGCAGCAGGAAGGAAGGGACAAAATGAAGGACAGGCAGCAAAAACAGGGCAATGTTTCAACATCAGCCTAATCAAAAGGGAACATAACAAACAGATGGTGCACAGCAAGGCCTCCTGAGAGGCTGCCACAGGACAAACCATCTTCATTGTCCAGTGGGAGATGTGGCTGGCAGATGTTACTGCTTATGAGCTTAAATGGTATAGCACGAGACAGAGAATGAGACCGATAGAGAGAGAAAGAGAGACAAGTGGAAGGGGTTGACTAAAGTAAAAAGAGTTTACACGAGGTGGTAGAGAAGGCAGAGAATTAACAAGCACTCTTGTGTACCTGTCAGACTAAGGGGGTCCATCAGGACGAGGAGACTACTGTGAAACACTTCAAAGCAGCTCTAAACCAAACACTCCAGGTGCTCAATAATGTATTGCATATTAATGACTTCTAATTGTCAATCATAAAAGAGAAACTTTTGGGGACAAGCTTCTTACGCAAGAATCTTGTGGTAGTTGAGCGTGTTTGTCAGGCCTAGAAACTTCTGGATTTTGTCCATCACTGAAGCTGGTTCTGTCCTCAGCATCTGTCCATCCAGGACCAGGATCTGAAAAGAAACAAACCGGTTAATATAAATCATAGAAACATCCTCAATTGCACAGTGCATCTATGGGCACGCATGAACTCAGCTCAATATACCTGACTGGGGTGACAGTGTGTGAGCCAGCGCTGTAGGTGTGTGGCGTAAAGTCCGGGCACTAGACAACGGCTCTGCAGGACCCTCAGTTTGATGGGCGCATCCCGCCCAGCAGTGATGACATCATGGAATGTATATTTCTGAGCCACAGGATCATCATGAGCCCTTTGGTGCTGGAAAACAGGCAATTAATATTTACAATTTCATGATAAAATACAGTGCTGTGAAAAAGTAAGTAAACCCAATGAAGTGCATTTTGTTTCAGGGTAGAGTACTCTGGTAAAGTTTTCCTGTGATGGGGTAAGCAGAGATAAGAAGAGTTTATATTCAATTAAATGCCACATACAGATAATTGTGTAACCAACATACCAATAATAACCAGAAAAAAAGATTTAATGCATTTTTATGCATTTTTCAATTATATGTGGGATTCTTAAATATAAAAAAAACCTGAAATACACCAGGACTCAACCTCTACAATATAAAAACCATTAAAAGTACATTTTCATTATTCATTAATAGTTAGATCATATAGCTTGAAATTGTGAGTCCACAGAATGCACAATAGGTGCTGTGTTTTTGATTTTAAACATGCAGTGCTCATATTTAAATCACAAACTTTTGAAGCATAATAGTCACATGATTAATATGGTACATAATATATGTTCGTAAAAAAGATATTTAAGACATGGCCTTAAATTATGACATTTTAAGCCTTTTTAAGGACACGCAGATGCCCTGTATTTTGTTTTTCTGTATTAGAACATACAGATAATAAATTTTTACAGATGTTAATAGATAAAAGGCAGTATATTGCCACCATAACTGCAACTATGAATTCCAAATTATATCAAATAATGCTTGAGATGAACATGAAGCCATCTGTAAAAAAAAACTGTCAATGACAATGAATCAACACATGCAAGCAGACCCACAAAGGAATGTTTCAGAAAAAAGAATTTAAGTTTTAGAAGTCAAAATCAAGATCTCAATTTAACTGAAATTCTATGAGGGACCTGAAGTGGGCCATACATGCTACAAATCACTCCAAATTCACAGAAGTAATGAAATCCTGCATGAAGGAATGAGCATAATTTCTTTATAATTTGTATAAGCTGCTAAATGTATGGGTGTACATCATTTTTATACCATCCAAATAGAGTTACAGTATCGAAATGTCCACATTATCATAGACATCATTTTTCATAGGCCGTACATTTTCAGAGCACTGTTGAAGTTGAAATGTTATATAATGGAAAACATAACTTTCCATGCTCTTTTGAAATAAAATAGCATCTTGTTGCTGCAAAAACTACTTACCTTGACTAACATAAACAGGCTTTTGGGAAAAATTAAAAAGCCACATGCAAAAGTATAAAACATGGGCCCTATCGGACCCAGCAGAACAATGATGTTTACAATTCCTTCCGAATAACATATTTTTCCCATTTGCAGATCTAATCTTCTGTCCAGAGCAGGCATCATGGCCTTGACTGACCCTGGATGTGATTGGATGACACATGAGCAGTTAGATACTGACCTGATACCAGGAATAGGCTCTGTCAGCCGGGTTGATAAGAATGGTGATGATTTTGGCTTTGGGCAGAAGAGCAGCTGCTCGCCGGGCCGCGACCTCTGAGTCGAAGTAGTTGGCACTTTTCTCAAAGTAGAAATCTGAGCTAGTGTTGGAGGGTAGAGGGAAATACTCCATGTACCTAGCATTAAAAAAGCCAAACAATTAGCATTTCATTAAATTTGGTCCACACTCTTGAAAGAAAACAGATGGTGGACATGTGTCAACACCTGTAAAAAAAAAAAACATTTTTAACTATTGTTGCACCATTGTTTATCTCTGTTTGGTGAAATGCACCTCTCTCTTTATAATCAGCATTGTATCCAGCACTTGTTTTTGAGAACGAACCGCCACATGAACCATCAACCTCCGACATTTTTTCCGCAAACTGATTAAAGAGAAAAAGAAAGGCAGGAAGAGAGAGGCGGTTGATGATGTGCATCAGACACCTGCTTTCTATTAGTTACATTTCAGACTACTGAATGATGGAAAGAAAGAGCTGGTGGTGAAGGCAGTGCTGTTTTGAAATGACCCATAATGCCTTCCTCTCATGGGAACATTAGTCTCCATGTCTCTTAATGCTCGTAACTTCAAAGCATGCCAGATTTTCACATTCACAGTACTTCACAAGAGCTATCGACTGTAAAGAACCCATGAAATCATGCGGTTTTCTTGCCCATGTTGATGTACTCCCTATAGAAATAGTAAGTTATGGCGCATCAGAAATGGGTTGTTTTAGGGGGAAAGGACATTCTCATTCTAGAGAGCAGTTTTAGATGCATCCCATGAGTGAAAGGTGATTCAGTATTTTAAATCAGTAATTTAGATCATACATTTTAGGTTACGGCCTTTTAACACCAAGAACAATAACTGTAACGATAACTATACTGGCTTCCAAATCAATGCATAAAAACTTCCTGTTCATTATATGAACTTGCCACAATTTTGATGTCTGCCACTTTAAATGCTGATGATAAAAATATAGTTCATCAGCTGGAAGAAAATGTTCTGACTGCAGCGATATTGTTTCTCTGTCACATTATCAATATAGTTGTGTTGTGGATTTCACTACTCACAAAATTACAACAATTATTAAAAACGTTATAGTTATTGTCCTTGGTATGAATGGATTTTCAATCTGCTAAATGTTTTAGGTGTACACTAGCATATAGATGACCTCAAAACTAACATATATGGACTAAACGACAAAGCAATTTTTTATTTATTTATTTTTTATTTTATGGGGTCTCTAAATTATGCATGATTTCAAAGAGACTGCAACCCATGAAGCTGGTAACATATGAAGGAGACATTTTCTTTCACAATATAACCACATACCAGTCAATGCCTTTGTGGTAGTTTCGACTGTTGAAGAACTGGATTTCTTCAAAGGTCTCCTTACTGGGGTAGTTACTGGTCAAATCGGGATGCATGCCCAGGAACAGATAGAGAGCAGTAGTTCCTGAACAGACACAAGACAGCATATGTCGATTATAGAATTTTTAACAAAACAATTTAAAAACAAACTTAATTGAGAAAAATCCCTTAAATATAATAACAATAATAATAAAACTATTTCATTAGTAGTCTCAGACTTCTTGACTCCATTGTGACTCCTAAAATTCTGCTATTGAGCTATAGAAGTACAGTATGTAGTATAAAACCTGATTTAATTTGAGCCAAAGAAAAAGTTTCAGTGAAAGTTTACTGAAACGATGATGCTAGCTAATATACAAGTCTAGGAAGTGAAGTAATAACAGTACAAAAAATAAAAATAAATATATAAACGTTGGTCTAAGGCCCAACCCCCTAATCTAACTTTTATTGAGAAGATTAACACAGCCATTTTTCTACCCACTCTTAGAGTGGGCTATTGCTCCCTGAAGACATCTTTAGAAGTTTAATTAGTCAACGCTGTAAAACTGAATTCACATTTACTGAGGAGCAGCCAGGGTTGCAGTAGAAAGCCTGCATACATCTATGAGCCTGAGCCTGTAAGGAAATAAAACCCCACCAATGCTGTTGTGCACACTTTCAAGATTCAAGAGCACTGGATGAAAAAAAAAACCATACCTGTTGCAAGTCAATCACAGCACTAATCCACCCCCATAATTGAGTAATACACTTAGAAAAAAAAAAATACACATCTAAAAATTACTTTTATAAATACACCAACAAAGTTGTAGCTGATTATAAAAATTTACTGAGATGAGCCAATGAATTGAGAGCGCCAATGATTTGGTCCCTTGCTTTGTTTATGAATGAATCAGCAATTTGAACATTTGAATGAATGACTCACTCATTAAAACAGTGACTTGCCACAACAAACTGGTGGCTTTAATTTCATATTTACAGTATATTTCATTTTTATTTAAATTTTTTTAAATTTTTTTTTAAATTTCAGAAATTTCACTATTCAGTTTATTTTTTCTTAAAACCAACTAATTCTTATTTAAAACCCCGTTTTTCTCAGATCATTATTAATGCAATTTTAACTGCAGTGTAAATGCATTCATGCCACCTGAACAATACACAGTTTATATGTAATAAATTCTATGTTGAATCAAAATATTTCTTTCTAAAGCTACTTTTTGTAATGTCCATTAAATTTGGTCCACACTCTTGAAAGAAAACAGATGGTGGACATGTGTCAACACCTGTAAAAAAAAAAAACATTTTTAACTATTGTTGCACCATTGTTTATCTCTGTTTGGTGAAATGCACCTCTCTCTTTATAATCAGCATTGTATCCAGCACTTGTTTTTGAGAACGAACCGCCACATGAACCATCAACCTCCGACATTTTTTCCGCAAACTGATTAAAGAGAAAAAGAAAGGCAGGAAGAGAGAGGCGGTTGATGATGTGCATCAGACACCTGCTTTCTATTAGTTACATTTCAGACTACTGAATGATGGAAAGAAAGAGCTGGTGGTGAAGGCAGTGCTGTTTTGAAATGACCCATAATGCCTTCCTCTCATGGGAACATTAGTCTCCATGTCTCTTAATGCTCGTAACTTCAAAGCATGCCAGATTTTCACATTCACAGTACTTCACAAGAGCTATCGACTGTAAAGAACCCATGAAATCATGCGGTTTTCTTGCCCATGTTGATGTACTCCCTATAGAAATAGTAAGTTATGGCGCATCAGAAATGGGTTGTTTTAGGGGGAAAGGACATTCTCATTCTAGAGAGCAGTTTTAGATGCATCCCATGAGTGAAAGGTGATTCAGTATTTTAAATCAGTAATTTAGATCATACATTTTAGGTTACGGCCTTTTAACACCAAGAACAATAACTGTAACGATAACTATACTGGCTTCCAAATCAATGCATAAAAACTTCCTGTTCATTATATGAACTTGCCACAATTTTGATGTCTGCCACTTTAAATGCTGATGATAAAAATATAGTTCATCAGCTGGAAGAAAATGTTCTGACTGCAGCGATATTGTTTCTCTGTCACATTATCAATATAGTTGTGTTGTGGATTTCACTACTCACAAAATTACAACAATTATTAAAAACGTTATAGTTATTGTCCTTGGTATGAATGGATTTTCAATCTGCTAAATGTTTTAGGTGTACACTAGCATATAGATGACCTCAAAACTAACATATATGGACTAAACGACAAAGCAATTTTTTATTTATTTATTTTTTATTTTATGGGGTCTCTAAATTATGCATGATTTCAAAGAGACTGCAACCCATGAAGCTGGTAACATATGAAGGAGACATTTTCTTTCACAATATAACCACATACCAGTCAATGCCTTTGTGGTAGTTTCGACTGTTGAAGAACTGGATTTCTTCAAAGGTCTCCTTACTGGGGTAGTTACTGGTCAAATCGGGATGCATGCCCAGGAACAGATAGAGAGCAGTAGTTCCTGAACAGACACAAGACAGCATATGTCGATTATAGAATTTTTAACAAAACAATTTAAAAACAAACTTAATTGAGAAAAATCCCTTAAATATAATAACAATAATAATAAAACTATTTCATTAGTAGTCTCAGACTTCTTGACTCCATTGTGACTCCTAAAATTCTGCTATTGAGCTATAGAAGTACAGTATGTAGTATAAAACCTGATTTAATTTGAGCCAAAGAAAAAGTTTCAGTGAAAGTTTACTGAAACGATGATGCTAGCTAATATACAAGTCTAGGAAGTGAAGTAATAACAGTACAAAAAATAAAAATAAATATATAAACGTTGGTCTAAGGCCCAACCCCCTAATCTAACTTTTATTGAGAAGATTAACACAGCCATTTTTCTACCCACTCTTAGAGTGGGCTATTGCTCCCTGAAGACATCTTTAGAAGTTTAATTAGTCAACGCTGTAAAACTGAATTCACATTTACTGAGGAGCAGCCAGGGTTGCAGTAGAAAGCCTGCATACATCTATGAGCCAAGGAAATAAAGGAAATAAAACCCCACCAATGCTGTTGTGCACACTTTCAAGATTCAAGAGCACTGGATGACCATACCTGCATCTAAAAATTACTTTTATAAATACACCAACAAAGTTGTAGCTGATTATAAAAATTTACTGAGATGAGCCAATGAATTGAGAGCGCCAATGATTTGGTCCCTTGCTTTGTTTATGAATGAATCAGCAATTTGAACATTTGAATGAATGACTCACTCATTAAAACAGTGACTTGCCACAACAAACTGGTGGCTCATATTTAATATTTACAGTATATTTCATTTTTATTTAAATTTTTTTAAATTTTTTTTTAAATTTCAGACTATTCAGTTTTCAGTTTATTTTTTCTTAAAACCAACTAATTCTTATTTAAAACCCCGTTTTTCTCAGATCATTATTAATGCAATTTTAACTGCAGTGTAAATGCATTCATGCCACCTGAACAATACACAGTTTATATGTAATAAATTCTATGTTGAATCAAAATATTTCTTTCTAAAGCTACTTTTTGTAATGTCTATTCAACATGTTTTCCCCTCATTTAACACAATAATGACTTTCAATTATCTTTTGGGGTAATTTCTCAGCCTAAATTGACGTGTGATTAATTTGACTAATTAATAGGCACATCAAGTAAATGAATTAGATTTTTTTTAATCATTTGACAGCTTTATGTATAATTTGCATGTATGTATTTATGTATGTATATATATATATATATATATATATATATACACACACACACACACACACACACACATACATATATAGACAGACAGATAATATCCAAAGTCTGATCATCTTAAAATTGCCACATATCCACTATTGGTAACATTCTGGCAAGCAAAACAATAGCCACTCAAAAAAGGGGGATCTATAATAACTACAATTTTAATAAAAAGTTAGAAAAAGAATAGGAATTCCTAAAGTAAATTGTAATATTGTAATCTACAGTATTACATTGGCTGATATATGCTGGAAGGCACACTTATAACACTGGATCTAGATGGAAATTTGCTATAACTGGTTTTAAAAGAGAGCATATCTTGCCAACACAGCTAGATGGCGCAAGTGCACACGTTGTGTGGATGTGTGCTGAGCACACAACACTCACCGGTCTTCTGAGGTCCAATGATAAGCAGCTTGGGGAAACGGTCACAGGTCTTCTCTTTAGACCAGATGTCTTTATGTCTTTTGTCCTCACAGGGGTCCTGTAAGGGCAAGAAATGAGCTAAAGTGAAGCACTACCCATATATCACTAAAATGAGCACATTCACCATAAAAAACACTGCAGCGAGTCAATCGTTGTGCCTCAATAACCAGCAGGAAATTATAAAGAAGCTGGAAAAATTGTTCTCATTCACCAAGCCAGCATGAATATGAGAAACTTACTGTTTTACAAAATTACCCAGGGCGAGATGTTCATTTTTTTATGCATATTCAAATGTAGGGTACGGCAAAATAGTAGGATGTCCAAAAGTTCAGTATGTGCTCAGAAAATATAGGAATTTGGATGTAGACTGAGCG